GTATAGTGCTGAAACATGATTGTATTTATGCAGTGGTTTATAACATGTTTTTGTTATAATTGTTAATAAATATATATATATATATATATATATATATATATATATATATCTCACTCAAAGGCTTATCACTAGAAGAAAATACTTATAGTGATAATTCTTTGATTGACAATAGTTTGACAGACTGCCTACAACAAGTATTTATTCATGTAGACATTGGCATTCTATGAAAATCTATTCTTATATTGTCTTGGCATTATGTTCAGACTAAACATTTTGATGGCTGCATCAAAATATTTTTGTGCTGCATAACCAGGAATTTTGGGGCTGACATTTTTTTTTTATTTTTGTTGTTGTTCAAAAGCAAAATTATTTTAGATTAAAAAAAAACCCTCAAAAATGCTCTTTGAACAATAATACAATTGACTGTTGAACTCCTTTAGTCAAAGAAACAGAAAAGAAAACTTTGTTTTAATGTTTGGTCTTGCTTAGTTTATTTCGTTAGCTTTTAGAGTTGGAGATCCCTTAAGCATGCCACTGTATAAAGGTTTGCATATATGTGTGTTCAATTCTATATGATGATATTAGATTATAAAGAAATGACTCTTCATATTCATGTAATTTTCTTTAAGAAAAATTTCCAATTCATAACAATCCATTGATATATGAAAGACACTTAATCTTTCCTATAAAGGACTTTATATTTGGTACCTTGATGGTATTTATCATAATTCATATATATTTATTTAATTATAAAGCTATTTGTAATACTCTAAGCAGTTCATTCTATGTTGAAACTCGCCATAACATTATGGAGTTATAATTATTGAAATCATGCAGTATATACTTTAAAAGTTAATGAAGTTCTTTCTTATAGTCATTGTTTTTAGTTAGCATATATAATATGCAAACACGACAGTAAAAATCAGAATTATTTGTTGTTAATATTTTGTATTAGTATCTTTACATAAACTTTATATTAAATAATGATTTTGATTAGCTTTTGTATAAATTCTCCAAAAGATTGAAATTTAAAAAAAATATTTTATACATAAATTTCTATTGCAAACTTGGACCATTTAGCATACACACACCAAAAAAATGGTGTATCAAAAGGACATTTTTTTCTCTTGACATCACTATTATTTTAACTACCTTCACTCCTCAGAAATGTTTATTGTATTAAAAAGCAATGATCAGAATTGTAATAAAACCTAAACATATGAGGAAAGTGAAGTTATACATTTTTGTTCTTGAGAATTTACAACAAAAATATTAAACACTTTATTAGATTACTTACAAGAATAATTTTATATTTACAACATTCTAACAACTAATACAGTTAAAATTAATGCAATCTGATATTTATCAATATTTACTAAATTATTAAAATGTCAGCCAACTATAAGGAAATCTTTATCATTTACAATTTTATAAAGTTCAAATCAATTGGCAATTAGCTGATGTTTTGCCAATCATTCCAATAAATGATCTAATAAATAGTGTTTATTATTTTTGTTGTCAGTTCTCAAGAACAAAAAAAATGTAGAAATTTATCTTCATATATTTAGGTTTTATTAAAATTCTAATTGTCACTTTTTAAAATTAAACATTTCTGAGGAGTGAAGGTAGTTAAAATAATAAAACCATCCTTTTGACACTTTTTTTTTTTTTTTTTTTTTGTGAGTGCAAAGGTGTAAGTTTGCCAATTCTATTTTATATTGTTGGTTAAAATGCACATTTTATGTAAAAATTCTTCATTCAAGGAATGTTGTATATTTATCTTCAAGATTATATCGCTTGTAGATGGGGATAGTCTGAAGCCATGTACCATTGGAATGTTGGGTAGGTGATACAGGAAATTGAATTTTTAATTGAACATCTTTAATTTCAGAATTGAAAAAATATAAATACAATGTGATAATTGTTTTACTTGATCTGGAATCTTAATTTTTGACTTGTATTTTTTTTTCTTCTTAATTCCTGTCGTTTGCAAGAAACTATGATTTTCCTGTGTGTGTGTGTGTGGGGGTTATGATCTGTTTTTGCAGTCTTCAACTTTGACCCTCTAGCTCTCAACTGCACATTCTTTTTCACTTCTCTACATTTTCTTGATTATTTCTTTTCCTTACTTCTTGTATCAATTCTGATTCTGTAGATAATGGTTAGAAGTTATTCAGTGTCGTTTATCCAGGCAGCAATCTGCCAATTATTTCTTAACACTTTTTTAAGGTAATTGACATTGTAATAATCTACACTTGATTGGCTTAGCTCAGTGCTATACACGGCTGAATGGAATAGAATGGCAAGAGGAAGGTTATATTCAAGGATGGTACCTGTTTACCAAGAAAATCAGCATTTGAAATCTTGGCTCTGAAAGTCTGGATTTGAATCATCTGATGCTGATTGGTAATATATAACTACACTGATGGTAAATAAAATTGCAATGCCTTGAAAATTTATTTCGATTTGCTCAAGCTGAAACATATATAGTTGATTTACAGTAAGTGATCACATATGCATATCAATATTTGCAGAGATGTATTAACAGTTCTATCCACATCACCTTTGTGTTCCCTGGATAAGAAGCAAGTTTTATTCAGGCAGCTTCTTCCCCAAAATTGTTACTCCCAACACATACTTCCCTGACAACTACAATCTTGGTGTCTTTAAGTTCTGGGTCAACCAATATCTATTGTACATGTCCTCATTATGTGTTTTTTTTATTTTCTCCTTCCCCCTTCCTTACAACAAAGTCACTCAGTAACTCTCTGCCTTGAGTGGACTTGTCTTGTATTAAGTGAATATAAAAAAAAAAAAAAAAAATGGTACACAGACTTTCTATTGATACACTGTATGTCCTCCTTGAGTATCAAGAGGCCTGCATTCATAAGATCATACACAAATTACCCTAACTGAAGGAGTCTAACTGAAGGAGTCAAGAGTGTTGTCCCATCATATCTTGTCCATGTTCAGTAAAGAGCAAGATCATGTTTGTCAAATGTTGAGTAGTATGGGCATCATGTAGGCAGGTACTATACTACTGGAACAGTAGCGATTTTCCAAGCGTAGCTTAGATGTGGCACAAGGCTGAAAGTATGGGGTACCCAGTGAGGATCAAACTCACTACTCATTTACTACTGGAACAGTACATTGCTTTCTTGTTGAAGGGATAGCTGTAGAATGTGATGAACAATGTTCTGAATGTAAATGGCCCTGTTGAACATTTTCTCCACAAACACATAAAGCAAAGATTATAATTTTATGACCCTCCAAACTGTGAGTGAATATATACTATGGAAGATGTCACATCACATCTTCATGAAATCAGAAGCCTCTCTCTCTTTACTGAACATTACAAAGCAAAATTTGATTACCTTGAAATATTACTAGAGACTTTTACAATGGAGGCGTGATGTAGGTGGATATCTGGCTAAAGGTCTGCATCGCCATTGTTCTGCTCTCAACAGTGTCCATATTGACACTCCTAGAGTTCACCTTTGCTCTGAACAAAATACTATCTGTCACTGTTGCCCTTACAAGCTCAGACACAGTGCATGGGTATAGGTGTTATGTTGCAACATGGCCAGAGACCTTTGAAAATTTTATGAAGAATATTTACTACCTGGTTGCCTCCACATAAATGTAAACAGGTCAACATTGATGTTGTCCTTCACAGTGTTGAAATCATAATTTTCATTTAGTGAAATTCAACCGTGAAGTAGGCTACTCAATTTTTCTTTCTTTTCAAACTTTTTTTTTCTTCTTTTCTCTCGCTCTCTTCTTTTTTTACTTTTTCTACCTCACTTTTTCTAATTTTCTATTTCTCTCTTCTGTTTTGTCTTTCCTCATTTGTCATCTGTTAAATTGTACAAATCATAAACTATGTTTAAAAGGCGAGTAGCAATTGACTCAATTTAAGTGACTTGATTGCATTATTTAGGTGCAAAATTCAACTGGAATGAAAATTTATTAAAAAAAAAAAAAGAAAAAGTAATATGAAAAAATAGGAATAGCAACAGGGAATGAAGTAAGCAGGTGATGTGTACTTTTGTTTTTGTAGTCAACACAAAATGAGAATTTTGTCCTCTCTAGCTACAAATTTCCCACCTTTTATATTTATTTTTGTTTATTGAGCCTTACTTGAATTTTATTTTCATGAATTTAGATTATTTTTTAGAAATATTTCTATATCTGAAGTTACAACAGATGTTTAGCAAACATCTATACAATTAATTTATACAAAAATAGACTTTATTTTAATTTGGTAGAAACTGATTTTCTCAGACATACATGCATTCTCACAGTAGCAAGATTACTTGCAGAAGCTTTGAAATAAAAGCAGATTTTTCTGGATTAATATAAAAACTTATTGGATAATTTCCAATTTGAGGGCCTTAATAGATTTTGAGGCATTTTTAGCTACATTTCCTCTTTATTTTAGAAGGAAATGCATTCATTCAATGTAATTTTGACTCTGATTTCATTATATAGTTTTTTTCAATTTAAAGAATAACTTCAAATTTGTCAATTTTACAGACTAAATTTAATGAAAAAGGGTGTAACCCACAATAACAATAAAAAAGAAATTGTGCAAGCACGCATGACAACCAAACTATCAGAATTTAAAAAAATAAAGATACTAATATTCAGTTTAGATAAACTCTTTTACCAAATTCAATTTTGAGAGATAGAGAATGAAAAAATCAAAGAGAAAGAAACTTAAATTTTCTCTTCTGTTTGTCTGTCTGTTAAACTCGATGCAATTGTCTGTTGCTGATAAGAAGTTCCTATTCAGAAAGACACATTAATTTTGAGCTCAAAAAAAAACTTCCAAGTGGCGTACATCATAAGTATACCATTTTTTACTATAAGACAACTTGTATTTAAAATTGCAGAGGCTCTTCCTTTAGATCAAGGTAAGTATTCAACAAGTGTGTCGGGTTCTCCAGGGGATGCCACTTGTTCGTTTGTTTGATTTATTTGTCCATTTGTTCTTTTAGGTGAAGCCACTTATCTGGGTGGAATCTGTGATTGAACGACATGCACATAGCCGTGTAGAATACATGATCAAGGTAAGTGGAGATATTTGTATAGATTGCATCCTCAATCTATCCAATGATCTGTGAAAATGTTTTGTATCTGATAAAAACCATGCAATAAAGTTCAATATGAAGAAAGGAGTTCAGTGTCATTTCACACACACCGAGTTTCTGTTACAAGAAATTTTTTTTTTAAACTACTGCTTAGAAGTTAGTTTTTAGTTACACTAGCAAATCCTGAACTGTGTGTGATGAGCAAATTTACATCTAGTACAAAATGTTCATTCTATAATCAAAAGTGCATATGTTGTGTCAAGCCTACTGACCTGGTGTCATTTTACAATTATTTTACAAATATCTCATCATCACTCCTCTGAATTTCCTTTTTTTTTTATCATTTCACCCAAAGCAAAGCAATAAAGCCACTAAGATGCAAGGGGTTGCTGAGGGTGAAATAATCTGAGAAAAAAAAAAAACATTAAGGGAAGAGAGTGATAAAAGCACGGGAATTAAGGAGACAGATGACAACGATTGATGTTGCATTTAAAGTTTTGATTATTGGAAAGTCAGAAGCTGGAGGAGAGTTCTGCAAATTGTTGCTGACTCAGCTCAAAGGCTATAATTGTTTGAACATCTGTACAATGAAACAATTCATGGCTGAAGCGGTGTACTGAGCTGAGTATTCAGGCCAAGGAAGGCCAAAGAAAACTTGGAGATGTCAACAATGACAACAAGAAATTAAGGTTGAAAGAAGACATGGCTCAAGATAGAATAGTCTGGAGAAGTGAAATGAAATGAGTGTCCAAAAATTCTAAATTTTGCATTAAGGAAAGCTGATAATCCAAATAATGTGAGGGATGGAGTTACAATAGCTCCTCTAGACAGCTTGCATATACAACTCCACTTTTTTATACTTGGTCTCTCATCCATAATACCAGCTTATTTGCCACTAGTTTCTGTGTGTTTTTTTTCCATTGTCTGCATGAAGAAGTCATAAATTATAAGCATGAAGTATATACAAGTCAACAAATACAGTTATTACACAACCAACAAACCAATATTTAGTTAAAAATTGAACAAGCAAACTAAGATATTACTAATGCAAAGTGAACATGTAGAAATAAAATAACTCCTTGTAAAAATGAATATCAGGCTTTTAGACAGTGTGTGGCAGAAATACCTCCCATATAGTGGTAAGACATTAGCTCAATGTAGACACTATTGCCACTTAACATTATGTGGGACATATTTCTGCTGCACCCTGTAATTTTAGTTAATGACTTTATTATTATTATTATTATTATTATTCCTCTTCTTCTAAGTGTTTTTTTCCTTATTACATTCTTAATACTCACTAACGAGACTTGTGATTTTTAACCAATCTATTTTATCAGTATAAGAATAAATACATTATTGTCTGTTGTAAACCATTAACCTGTTTCAATTCCCCTCCCCTTTAGAAGGATCAGCTTCCTAAGAAGATCCTTCTTGTTCATAATTTCTTGATAAAGAAAAAATAAATCAGATATAAAATAATTTTACAAAGCATTATTATTTTTATTGTTATTTTGAGCATATGAAATTTGTATGCAAATAAAGTGACTATTACAGGACAAAGGTATTGGCAATTCCTCATCAAAGACAAAAATTATCAAAATTGGTGCAAACTCACTGTGATAACCAAATGTCAAAACTATCTGATATTGGATTTAAAGGTACCAAAGACGCACCACTTTAAGATAGCAGATATGGTATTGGTTAATCAAGTATTACTGTCATTTAGTGATCAAATCTATATATTCTGGTTTGGCAGGAATGAACAAAAAAAAAAGAAAGGCTGAAAATAAGTGATACCTAAAGATAGACAGTATATGGCTGAAATGTCTCTAATAACAATAAAAAAGATGGACAGTACTTCAAATTAATCAAATAGGTTGGACTTGCCTGAATTTTTCAGATGAAGTTTTGTTAATTAATAATTTCTGGTTTCATTTGTGGTCTTGTTTTTTATTGGCAGGCTAAAAGCCAGTTCAAACGTCGTTCAACTGCTAACAATGTGGAGATAATTATTCCCGTCCCCCAGGACGCAGACTCCCCTAAATTCAAAACTACTGTCGGCAGCTGCAAATACACTCCAGAAGTTAATGCTGTCATCTGGACAATCAAATCTTTCCCAGTAAGTTTTTTTTTTTTTTTTTAAACTTCTTTTCGATATCAGAAAATATTAACTTTTAATTCTGCTGTCATGTTATTTTTATTAGAAAATAGTTTTAGAATCATTGTAATTTTGTCTTAGGGAAATACTTTAAATTAAGTTTCTCTTAATCTGACACCTCTCACAGCCCAAAGATTATTTTTTGAGAAGATTTTGAATTGTCTCTTCATCCTCCTGTAAGCAGCTACCTTCGAAATTGGTGTGTGATGGCTGCTAATTTGTTTCTTTGCAATCACTTTTGAGGATAAGCATATTAACTAAAACTCAGTACATTCAACATTATTTTTTTCTTTTTTAAATGAGCCTATACAATATATTGGAGAGAATTTGACAATGTTCAAATTACCCAATCTGTTACGTCTTGCTTCATATTTAATCTGAAATAATCAGAAAAAGGTGGAAATACTTAGTAATGTTTTAAATCTATGAAGATTGATCAAGAAGTAATTCTTGTACTTTAATTACAACAGATTTAATAGAAGAAGCAGAAAATGTAAAATGAAATGTAGTCCATAATGTCAGGATTGTAAATCTGGTCTTCAGTTTTAGTATTTCACTTTTGAATGAGGCCAAGAATACCTGCCTTTTAGAAGTTTCTTGACTGCTATGTGAGTTTATTTTACCTCATCATCTTTTGTGTCCTGATTGCTTCTGTTCTATCTCCAAACAGATCAGGAGTATAGAGATGAGGATGAGATAAGGTTGTCCAATTATGCCTTATAATTGCATATCTAGTCTTGAAAGAGTTTCCTTCCTTCTCAATCTTCGTTTTTCACCTTTGAATGAAGCCAAGGATGTCTGATACTCAAACTGCTGCTGTTATGTAAAAAAAAATTACAAATCATCATTGTGCTATCCACCTTAGACTCTGACTGTATGACTAATAATTTTGATCCAATATGCAGTTGTCATTTTCCTTGCAGAATGTGCTGCCTTGATCTTGCTGGCTGGTGTCACAATATCTTGATCTTTTGCTATCTGTGATATATAGTTATGAACGTTCTTCATGTGCTGTGGTTTACATCAAGTTTTGGAAATTCGGACTGGAAATGTTTACGTTTTCTCTCTCCAAAAAAATAAATTGTATAACACTTTGCTTTCTGTGTGTGTCCAGTGGGGAACCTATTCTGGAAGAGGATTATAGGTAGGAAAAAAATGTCTAAGTATCCTAATACTTTTGCAACTAAATTAGAACAGCCATTTCTGACTGGGTTGCATGTTTTCTATGAAGTGAAGGACTTAAATTATTAGCGTCCAATTATTTTCTTTTTCTTTTTTGTGTCTTTTTATTTTCTCTTTCTTTCTTTATTTAGTAAACGTTTTTTGTTTTTTTTTTATGAAATTTCTTTTCATGAAATTTCTTTTCCAGGAAGAAGAAAGGGAAGCAAAATCAACATCGATGCATTTTTTATCATTAATCTTTTTTTGTTTTTAGGGTGGCAAGGAGTATTTGATGCGGGCACACTTTGGACTACCAAGTGTCATTGGTGAAGATTCAGAGGGCAAACCTCCTATTCAAGTCAAATTTGAAATTCCATACTTCACAGTTTCAGGCATTCAGGTAAGAAACAGTCAACCTTTTGCTGAAAGGCTGTCACTGGTATAAATGATATTTTCTTTTTGCTTCCCTCTGTCTTTCTTATAAATCTTTTCCAAGCTATTGTTCTCATGAGCTCTTGTCCTTGGTACCTTGGCTGCATAGATTTATGTATACTCCTAAATTGACTACTTTGGTCTCATAGCTTTACAATTGAACTAGCTAAATGTAACTAAGTTCTATTTTAATAATTTCTTTTCTTGTACTTCTTACCTCTGGAACTTTCTTCCAGTTTCTTGCTTCTGTTGTCTGTTGGAGGTCATAAAAAATTTAAAAACATACAAGGTCATTTTCTTGTCCAGTATGCCTGGCATGCCAGATATAAATATGTGTCTTTGTCAGCTATTCTGGTCCATCTCACGCTTTCTGAAGTGAATTTGATTTCTGATGGCAATCAGCTCAGGGTTTTTTGTATGCCCACATGGAGAAGTTATTAAACTTTTCTGGGCATGTGGTTTCTTGTTTTTTGTGTGATCCTAAAGCCTATCCTCGAATATCAGTAGGTAAGTCAGAAGATCCCTTCAAGCCAAGAAGGTTTATTTTTGGTTTTCCTTTCTCTTCAATTCTCTCCTTGGTTGCTTTGGCAATTGTAGGCACTGTCTGTTCTTGCACCTCACAGCAAGTCTACAACAATCCCTTTTCCTTTGTGTATGTGTGTCTCTTCTGTCCACAGAATGTGTGCGTGTCACTCTTGTATTTGAGTGATGTGGATTTTATTAGCGTATTGTCTTGAGACCTCCTGGTGACTAATGAAGCCAAATGCTTTTCCACTTTATGTAAGCAATCCCCTAAGACACCCCATTGTTTGACATTGATGTACATAAAAATTTCCACTTTTGTCTGGATTATTTCAATTGGCCCCCATTGTCTAAAAAAAAAACACTTGGTTCCAACCAAAAAAACATTTTTCTCCAACTTTTAATAAGAAATAACTTATGGCTCAGTATTGTAGAATAGAGAAGAATTTATCACTTTTTGATCAGTTTGGAAAATCCAAGTAAATATTTTTCCTTATCAGAGAAAGATCACTTCTGAGAAATTCCAAAGATGATGACTTTTCTCCAAATTTCTTCAGGGGATCAACTCTTTGATTCTTTCATCAAACTTCATTTTATATTTTTAATTTAATTTTCTCTGTTTATTTTCCCACTTTCCTTTTAATTATATATGATATCCCTCTGGGAGTTTTTCGTAATTCATTTCTAATTTTTAATCACATCTCAAATCACAATTAGCTTTCTCCTGCATCTAAACATCAAACCAGGACTGTCGTCACCTCCTGTTACACAATCAGTTTTCAAACTATTTGGTCCACTTTCATAAAATATATTTTATATTTGTGTCTGCCTTCCTCTACCCCTCCTCCTACTATTACCACACACACACACACATTTTACAGCAAATCTACCAGCAAGCACTGAGTATGTTCTGAGCATGTTTTATATAAGTGTCATCAAAGCCAATTGCAAAAAAATAAATCAATCTCAGATGCTTGCTACTTACTGGAAATTTTCTTTTGCCTTCATTTCCAAATCGCTGTTAACTGGCTTAGAGATCAAAAAGTCTGCTTAAAGAAAAGTTTTAATATATTTTAGATATATGGGGTACACACACACACACACATATATGAGATAATTATATATATTTTTTATATATCAATATTGGGAAAAATGTATGACAATTTGGGAAAAGTTTTCTTGTGACACATTTCGTCCTTTTGGTCTGATGAAGTTTAACCACCCAAAAAAAACTTTATGCACTTTGTCATACAATTCCCCCCTATATATATATATATATATATATATATATATATATATATATATATATATATATGTAAAAATATGGTTGTAAGGTATACTATATCTATGGGTATAAGTGCTCAATATTAGAGATAGTCTATATTTCTGAGATGAGGTATTGTAACTCTTTACATTGTTCAGGCTGTTATTTTCATCTTTATTCACAACATTTTGACTGTTCTATGTTCTGGCCTTCTTCAGATGATATTAGTGTGAATTTCAAACGAAATTCTTTATTTATTCTAATCTAACAATCTATCCCACTTGGAATAAAGTGTTTTGGTTTGAAATTCCAAGTAATATCACCTGAAGAATGTCGGAGTGTACAACGGCTAAAACATTGGGAATGTGGCAATAAAGATGAGGATAAGTTTTGAAGAATGTAAATAGTGTCAAAATCAGAGATAGTGTATGAAGATATAAAAGTGGATACTGAGGTGAACATCAAACAGTGACAGTATGTTTCATGCTTGAATGCAGTCTTCAAGCCGTGTCTGTGTGCTGGGACTGTAGATAGATATCTCTGAAGATTAATATATATATATATATATATATACACACACACACACAGACACCATGAATTTTATATATTCAGTCTGAAGTTCATAGTGAAAAATAAAAAATCAAATTATAGGAATTTAAGTTCTTTATTTCTTGTGAAATAATTTAATTTTAAGAGAGATGAGTGAAAATGTCTGGTGAGACATGGGAAACCTGAGGTAACATGATGGATGAACAGATTGATTAATCTATTCATGCAACTGAAAATTTTAGATTGCATCTTTTAAATAGTTTGAAATTTTTAAATTTAAAAAAGAAAGTTTTTAATGTTTTCCTTTCCTTTATTAACTTTTTGAAGTTCCAAATATTTGTTTTTCTCCTGCCAGTGGATTTAAATTTTACATTTTTTGTTTTGAAAAGAAAGATTGAATCTGAGAAAAGCCATATTGAAACGTTAATTTAAATTTTTCGTTTTTTTACATTATTTTTGTCTCTTTCCAGGTACGTTACTTGAAGATCATTGAGAAAAGTGGTTACCAAGCCCTTCCCTGGGTGCGCTACATCACCCAGAACGGAGACTACCAACTGCGTACTAATTAGAACCTCATCTACATCAGCTGGCTGGCTGGCCGTGGGGCTCAGTTGTCATTCCTCCACGCCACAATCAAGTGTACATACCTGGGAGCATCCCCCCTCTTTTACTGCTACTGTAACTGTCACTTTGAGCTACCCTCATTTTCCTGGACCCCATCCCCTCCCCTCCCACTGATATGACAGCAGCAGCAGCAGCGACAGCAGTAATAGCTCCCGTGGCATTGGTCATTCTGTGATTTTCAAAATCAGTAAAAAAAAAAACAAAAAATAAAAAAGATAAAAAATTTGAAACTAAAAAAAAAAAAAAAAAAAAGAGAAGGAAAGATGTATAAAATTACATAAATGAACTTTTAAGTCTTTCTGTATGTGTCTGTCTTTCTGTTAGTTTGTCTATAAATTTATTTTTTTGTCCTAATGTTTCTTTTGTTGGTGAACACTAGTTCAAATTTCACTTAAATCACGTATAACTGTCTCTCTTTTTTTTCCTTTTTTGTTATTATTAAAGCAAACACAAATAAATTGTACTCTTCTATAAAGGTTGATAAATAATTTGTTTTTTTTTTTTTTTTTTTGTTTTGTTTTGTTTTAAAAAATGAATTCTTTTTGGAATTCAGGGATAATCTTTGGACAGTTTTCTTTTTTCAAGGCTGTTTTGGTTGGTTGATGTTTTCAGGGTACTTCATAAATTAGCATAGAAGAGAGTTTAATATTTTTTATTTCTGTACTATTTAGTCACTAAGTTGTTTTGTGAAAGGCATTTCTAAATCTCCTTCTAAAATCTTAAACACCACAAACAATCTTGCTTCAGTCATAACCAATGACAAGTGGTCTTAGTTCAATGCTTGAGCCATTTGAACAAATGTGCTGTCAAACTAATTATCCATTCATATTTCATTTTTTTTTTTTTTTTTTTTTTAAACTCCATCTTGTATGTCCAGAATAATTGGAACTGGCATTGCACTCGGATTTTTCAGACAAGTCTTTTCAGTTCACAAGTAACTTTTGTGGTTTATTCTGTATAAATTGTTGTAAATCTGATATTTCAATAGATGAAACAGTTATAAACTCTGGACAGAATTGAACCTTTTTATGGCTTCATAGTGTTCCCTTTAATAAGAATCTTGTTTTTTATATGATTTCTAAATTATGCAATTACTATGGTTTCTTAATAGTTTTTAAAATTTGGCATATGCAAATATAACGAATATTATAGGACAGATAAGGTTAATTATATCTATCCTGTAATAGTTGTTATATTTAGCAAAGCAAATGTAAACTGTTATGGGAGAGGCATACTCTTATCATCATCATAGCAGAAAGAAATATTTCCTTTTCTCTATATTCATAGTTTATTTTTATTTTATTTTTTTTTTTTTAATATTGTAATTCAAGGATAGTTTTCTGTTGGTAGAGTAGCTGTAGTGAGCCATGATGACCTCCCCATGTCCTGAATTGACCTTTGTCATCATGTGGGGTCATAGAGCGTCAAACCTTTGTTTATATTCTAATAGTTTTTTGGTCTCATATTTTGCTTAATAGCTATTATGATATCAAACTTGTATTTGTTGTGTTCCTTTAGGACGTGAGTGAACATGACTCTCTACAATTTCTTCTCTTTTGTAGCTCTTAGTAAACCTTGTCTTTTTTTTTTTTAATCTCTCCTTTGGACTCATTTCTATTTCTTTTTGTTGTTTTTCCATAAAAAGGGACATTTTGTCTTTCCTTACAGCTTGTGTATGCCTGAAGATTGGCTGAAATGTTGTAAGACCAAATAAAAGTAACACAAACAATGAGGAATGAGTTCATTTATTCAAAATGACTTTTTGAATTAAAAATTATTTCTCAATTGAATATCTGAATATTTATGGATTGTAGGGCATTTTGGAAAAAAAAATCCAAGTTTTGAAGACTGTCATGGTTACTAATGAATTTGAAATTTTCTTTTTTCCATGTTCCCAAATATGGGACCTATTATTTGTACATTTTTGTCTTTCTGGATCAATTCTGTCATAAAAACATGAAATTAATTTTAGACTTCTTTAGCAAAACTAAATTGTTTCCAATGTAAGAAAACTTGAGAAAATTATTTCTAATTTAATTGAATTCATGGCTATGTTTATTTAAATCATTAAATTAGGTTTGTGTTTGGTGTCGGGAGATTAAAAGCTTGTGAAATCCTTACCATTACTATTCTTCTGTTTTGTGAAGATTATGCAACTTTAAGACATCATAAACACTCAAGCCAAATTCAGAATTTTAGTCTTTTAAAAATACACACACAGTAAATATATGAAACAATTTGAAAATTTTTTACTTTGACATGTTTCACTGATGAACTGTAAGCAGTAAAAGAATTCTACTTCCTAAGAAAATTTACATTAGTAAAAGAAAACATGTAAATTTTGTTCTTGGGAAATAAAATACTTTCTGATGTTGTTCATTCATTGGCAAAGCATGTTAAAAAATAAAGTAATATATTTACCATTCCATCAGATTCTCATCAAATGACATACACTGACTTGAAACCCTGAATTGTATTTCTTAAAATTTATTTTATTTTTTATTTTTTAAAGTTCTTTGAAAGAAACTTTTTTTTTTTTTTAAATTTTGCATGAATAAATAGTTTTTTTTTTTTTTTTCCATTACCCCCTCCCAAATGTAATGCAGGTATTTGCTCATCTGAATCATCTTTGAATGTTTAAAAGCAGTTTTATCCTGCCAACTTTTAGTCAGGATTGTCTTTTTTTCTCTGATGTTGATTGTTCATAAAATGTCTATAGTTTTCAGATTAGAATCATCATCAAGATCCAAAAAGTTTCTTCAGACTGTTATCCTTATTTTTGTTGTGACTTGTGATTGAAACTTTCTGAAATTGTGCAGGTGTAAATCTCCTTCATGTTCTTGGCTGATTGCAAATTGTTCTTTGTAGACTGGAATGAAATACATTTTACTTTTACCTTATATAATTCTATATCTTTGTTCTCAGACATCTAATACCTTGATTTATTTTTTTGGCCCCTACCTCGCTTTCAGAACTTTTCTGATAGTTTTTCTCCAAATGTGACATTAAGATCATGAGAATATTTGTGTAACAGTAATGATCCATTTGTAATTGGTGACTGTTGAGAGAATTCATTTTTTACTTGACAAAACCGAGATCCCTGGTTGAAATTGATCTTTATAAATGTAACAACGATTCAAGAAACCTTTTAGATCTTGCTGGTGTCTCTTCTCTGCACTGATTATTGTCTTTTCTGCACGTAATATACATATGATCATGACTTTAAGTCTGTATTGAGAAGAGTTTTGTGAGGAACATCAAATTTTGTGAATTCTTTTTATCCATTTTTTTTCCTGGATTTAGTTGGATTACAAACACTGAAACGTTTTGTCAACTTTGTCTTTTTTTTTTTCTTTCTTTACTGTGGTAGACATAAACTTTTTACACAACTTCAAAATGGATTGTTCTTCTGATTTATTACATCAAATCTTGAAGGACTAACTTTTGAACACTTCCTGGGATCTACTTACCTTGATACATAGAGACTTTTAGTTTTAAACTTTACCTCACTTTCTCATTACAGATGGAAGCACATGTCTTTATTTAAATCTATTCAGAACTGTGGTTTGTTAATAATGTAATATTTACATTTGTTTCTGTCCATTTTTATGCTTCTGTTTGTCTGTCATACGTGGAGAGATGGACAACGACAATTTACAAAATTGTTTGGATCTAATTTCTAAAAGAATGAAAAAAACTTTTTTTTTTCTTTTTTTTTTTTTTTTTTATCCAGAACCACATATAAACTTTGACCTTAAATCTTTGTTTATTACATGCCAAAGATACATATTGACATACATACATGCCTGTTAATCTTTGTTACAATCACTCACACATTCTCTCTCACAGCAGGTTCTTTTCTTCCAACCCTCCAAGTATACTCCCCCGGAAACACACACACACGCAGATATTGTGAAATCTCTGTGTCCTTGGCTGATTGCAAATTGTTCTTTTAGACTGGAATGAAATACATTTTACTCTTATATAATTCTGTGTGGAGAGTATACCTTTATATATATATATATATATATATATATATATATATATATACACACACACACACCACTCACAGACAAAAAGAAGAGAGTGTGACTGAAAAAATCCTGAGCTGCCACCCTTCCCAAAATCTCACCAAATGGCCAAAGAGATTTTTCTTTTTGTTAATCCTTTCTTGGTTTGGCTGAGAACTTTTTCAGTACTCCAAACACGTATTAAAGTAGTTTTCTTCCTCAGTGCACACACACACACACACTTCCTCCCTCGGTGCATTGAAAGTTGCTAAAACTATTTAACTCTAAACACAACATATAAAGGCAAGATAAACTGATGGTATATTGTCAAACAATCCTATTTGTCATGTTTAATAGTTCTATCTCTTGACTCTGAGAGAGAGAGAGACACACACACACACACGTTATACATATTAAGTATGGTAACATATTTTGCCTGCAACAATTATTTCTTCACCCAAAAGTTTACACACATTTGTTTTGCACCAACAGTGCACATCATGTTTACATCTTAGCTGCATTGTAAGTCAACATTTCTCTAGCTTTTAAGAGTTGGTTCTTTGTGTAGGATCTTTGTGGCACTTTTACCATCCTCCCCTCTTGGATACTGGTGCAATACACTCTTCTTTCAATCTATGAATCATCATAGAAACATTTAGATCAAGTACAGTTCATAAACTAAGAATTTGTTAGTTAAGTACCAGAGGTGTTAAGACATCAGATTAGAATCAATTGGTCACTTAAGTTCATGTCTACACAATTATACATATTTGTTTATATCCATTAGGGCTTTACATGTAAATACAGAAACTTTTTAATCCACAGAGGATGAAGAAACTCCCAAACCATGATTGGAGGTAGTAATATTTAATCAATTGAGACAGTATCATTTGGAGTTATTTCAGAGTTTATATTCAGGATATTAATAAACATAA